GATAGGTGTGATAGTGACTATAGATAGATTGTGACTATATAGGATAGTTTTTAATAATAAAGTGTTTTGAACATTCAACTGGTGTGACTATATAGTAGAATGTGACTATAACGGGAGTGACTATAGAGGGAGTTGACTGTATTAAGAAAAAATAGAGTTTCTGATGAATGATAATTTTTATGTAAAATATTCAAAAGCTTGTTAATATATATAAAAAGATATGAATTTCTATTACTAGTATATGATTTATTAACCATTTATATTCTAGTTGGAATTCATAGTAACTATGATTATTCTTAATCTTTTCAACCAATTCTGATAAGCTTGGCAATTTGCATATAATAATATTATTTTTTCAAGTAAATTGATATTATTTGAAATTTTATTAGGATATTTAATCTGAACTAACATAAAAATATCTAAGTATTCATCTTTTGATCTCCATATAGTTTTCAGTATTCACTTTGATATCTTTTAAATCACATCTCCATTAGTTTTCAAGGAAACAGATGTTGATTGTTTCTTTTTTAGATTAAAATTAATTGTTTTTTTCTTTTTTAATAGGAGCTGAAATTATTATACCTAGTGATACCTGGCTAAACTCTTTTTACCAAAAATTTTGGTTTTGTTACCAACCAGTTTCGGTTTCGTCATTGACTAAACTATATAGTAATAATTTTTAAATTTAAATTTTAATTATATAAAATTATAGTTTTATTATAAAAATATATGAAATTATATTATATATATAATAGTTTTATAAATTCCTTTAAAAAATATTATATTTTAATATAAATTTATTATTATTTTTTTTTATAAGTAATTATTATAATTAAAAATCCATGGAAATCTATAAAAAATCCATGGAAATACTATGGAATATTGAATTTTGGCATTTTGTTTTTTAATTTTAAATGTCTAAACTATTTCAATTTAGTCAAATGACTAAATATTTCAGTTTCGCCCAGAATCTCTAATTATACCAAACACAATAATTATAATTTTTTCCTAGTTCATCAACTTCCAAGAGACATTGATCATTACTGAATGACTTTTGCAACTGCTTATTATTATTATCTATTGATAAATTTGTTTGAAATATCAAAAAAAAATTTTATCTGACTCAGAAATATGAATTTTATTTTTCTTATCTTGAGATTTTTCTTTGGAAAAAAGAAGTTAATCATATAAAGATAATTGAAAGTATTTTATAAAGTAATTATCATAATTATAGTTCCATTCACTTTTGCATTTATTGATTGTAAATTGGAGCTGTTGAAAACTTGATTGTTTTTGATATATTTTAAAGAATAGGTATCAATATTTGGAAAAAACTCTCCTCGTTAGTATTTCCTGTGTTGCTAAGTCAGAATATTTATCTGGACTTAATAACTTGAAAGTATTCCCAATGCATAACAAAAAGTTTGTGGATTATTTCAGATTTACTGAAAATGAAATCTTTATTCTCCTTCAATATAACGATAAAGACAACCAGTTGGATGATGTTATTAGGCAATAGTATTATGGATATAAGGCTGGAAATGAAATTCATTTGTACAATTTCTGGTCAATCAATTCTTATTTGGATGAGGAAACTTTAAAGGCATAATGGATAGATACAAATAAGCCTTGCGTTAGATTTGGAATTGTTTAATAATATTGTTGTAATATGGTTGAAATCATAACAGAAGGTACCGTAACTATTAAAAAATTACTTTGGCACTCAACTGAAGACTTTAGAGAAAAGACATTAACATTACTTCAAAAAGGTACAATTGATGTAAAGATCTTGAAAGACATTGATTACAACACACTATCTCCTCATGCAAATAATGTAATATGGACTCTACTATACTACGGTGATTATTTTACCATAAACGAAAATGAAAATCTACGCATTCCAAATACAAAGGTTTTTACAAAATGGAAAGGATGGTTAAATAATAAAGTTTTATCTAATCCAGATTTAAATTTTTCATATGCATTTAAAAGCAACTGATTAGCAAAAATTAAAAAAAAGATGAAGTAATTGTCAAAAAACTTGGTATTTTTGTTTGAAAAGTTATTAAAGCCATTATTATAGCACAAAATATTTCCTTTAAGAATTTATATATACAATGCTGGAGATGCTTTTACAATGCAATCTCACAAAATTTGAGGAGGAACTTCCAACAATAATAAAGGAATTTCTTTCATATTTTGATATTACAGATAAAACAGTAGAAGCTAATTATCATTAGTTCATGGTTGGCATATTTTCACCAATGTGATATTATAATTATGAGTTAACGTCAAATAGAAAAGCTGGCAATAGACATTTTGATATCAGAATTATACCAATCACAGAAGATGTAATTTATCTGATATCGGCAATTTTGGAAATTAAAGTATGCAAAAAGAACAAAAATAGTGATGAATATGAATATGTTGATGAGTTATCCAGTGATGAAGAAATCAAATATGGAAATGAAAATGAAATAAAACGTGAGCTTCAGAAGAACTTGATTCCATTTACAACTTTTTTCAAGCTGATAGAATAGGAAAAAACTTATATATAAAAGTATAAAAGTAATTTATTTCTAATTGTAATTCTATTAAGGTTGTAATTTTATCTTATTTATCTTACTTATTTTATTTCTTTCAATTTGACAGTGGAGAAAAAGAGGATATATATGACAAATTGCAAAGTTTACTTAAAGAGCAACTTCCCAAATAGTAGTTTTAAGAAAAAGTAGCATGTGTTATATATAGTAATGAATACTATCCTGATGTTAGTTCATAGCAACAAAAAACTATCATATAAACAATAGAGATTTCCATTTAGGCCGCTCCAACAAATAGTTTCGTTTAACATCACATGACATGAAAAAAATAGAGGGGGGCGGGGGTAAAATTTTGTACATATTAAATTTTAAACACATATATAAAGTCACGTTATTTTATTAGATGTAATGATTGTAACGTTAAATTTGCGATATTGTATTACAATCGACCACTTGTATCAACACTTAATTTATATTATTAACATGTGAACAAATCGTATTTTCTTTTTCTTTTTTCTTTGTTCGATAAACTTTTCTTTTTCTTTCGTGTAGTATCAGTAAATAAAACTGCAGAACTGACGATACTTTTTTTGGAAATTATATACATCAAATGTTGTATTTGTTTGTAACAGCCTATGAAAATGGCATATCTTTAGTAAAATCAGTAGTGGTTGGTATTAAAGATTCCTGAAATTTTGAAGATTTATTAAAAGATGCACTTTCAAATGAACTTTTTTTAGAAGATAAGCTGGTAAAAGTTGATCTTCAATGTAATGATTCTTCAGCTTGGCATCCTGTATTAAATGGCCTTACCGAAAATTTAGAAGCATGTTTTCAATTGAAGGCGCAGCATGTACGTTTTACAATATCTCATAGTATATTAATTCCCGATGAGTTATCTAATGAAGGATCTTTAGCATTTAATTTCATGATGACACAACAACGCCTAAAAAAACTTCCACTACTTTACAACTCCCAATTTCGTAATGATTTGCTCTATAATGATTTTTTAAAAATTTTGCAAGAAAGGAAACTGGGATGGCTGAATGATAATCATTTAACTATTGGGCATTCTTTTATCTGCAGAGTTACCGATTTAGTATGGTATTTTGATCCTCATCTTGGCAAATTTGAAAAACGTGGCTTGAAACTACCAAAAATTATAGCCAAACTTCCTGTATATGCTTCTGAAAGTCATTATAATCTCTATCATGATACTACGAAGCATAAAAAAATTGAAATATCACGAGAAAAACTTGAGTCATTTGTTAAAGCTTTAATTTTATCTATTCAACAACCTTGGACACGCCTATTACATTGGGAAGAAGTAATTAAAGATATTGATGATCTGATAAAAATAGCTCAAGAATATGCCAACTATCTTCAAGGGGTTAATAATAGAATGCGTACTATACATACGAGTCTAGTTCCTGTAAGAAATGGGCGAGATGGATATTACAGTTGAGGATATTGAAGCTGTTGACTTATATCCATCTCAATATGAGTTTTTAGCACAGCTTCTTCGTGAATCCAATGATTATGATCTTCTAAATATAGATCATTTGCTTCCTCCCAAGCCACAAAATATATATCTCTTTTTTCAAAATATTTGTGCTGATGTATCCTTCACGCTATATCGTTATTATCATGGCAATTATCTCGGTACATTAAATTTTGTATGGAAAATTCCTTCTTTGGATAAATGTGACAAGACAAAAGAAGCAAAAAATATTTCTGCAGCATATGACCAAATCCCAATCTATTGTACAAGACAAATGCGAAAAAATGTGATAAATAAGGTTTTTTTCTTTTTTTTTTTTTTTTTTTTT